AGTTTTTACTGTTTTTTAATAATTAATAATAATGGTTTTAGATATTTATTAATTGTTTTAGCTTGCTGTACACTGCCCAGAGTCACTTGTTTTGTGAGATGGGCAGCTATATAAATTAGACAAACAAACAAACAAACAAATAAATAGGCAGGACAAGGTTGTGTGAATCATGGCCGGAAATGAGACAAGGTGAACATCATGGGGACCAAATGTCATATCTTTCTGGTGAGGTGAAAATAAGTAATGAGGAAAGGCTTTTTTTGATAGATTACAGGCTATATCCTACTCAGATGACTCCAAGTCTAACATCACAAAGGATGTTAAATGAGATGGTTAAAGCAGTGTCTGCATTTCAATTCTTTTAGAGACAAGTTAGAAAATCTACCAATGATGGTTTAAGGGGTTGGACTGAGACCAGGAAGATCCAGGTACAAGGACTCATCTCACCACAAAACCTACTGACATTGTAGGAAGGTTGATTGATTATGTGCCATTAAGTTGTTTTCGACTCCTGGCGACCACGTAGATAGATTTTCATTGTAGGAAGAGAGCCTTGCTAATTTCTGGTAGCCAGAAATAAGAAAGAGTCTGGTAGCACCTTTTCAAGCTAGCAAATTTTATTCAAAGGCCTTTTAATAAAACTTGTTAATCTGGCACTGTGTTTCTGATTTTTGGAAGGCTGCTGAACGTCTTTGGGTCAATCACACCCAATCAGCCAAGCCTATCCTACCAGACTGTTGTGTGTGAATAGAAGGGAATACGTGTAGCTCAGGGTTGAACTGTGGAGTCCTTGGGGTTCCCTGAGCTTGGTTGCTTTCTTGCAAACGTTTCGTTACCCGGCTAGGTAACATCTTGAAAACTAGGGAGTCACCCTCTGCCCTCTCAAAGGAAAGGCAGGATTTAAATGCAATAAATAATACAGTTTGACTTCAACAATTGTCTCTTTATACTTCGTTTAACACCTTCCCGCTGGGGAAGACGTTTTGTTTCCATTGCTTATGCCCTAATTTAAAATAGGAAAGTGTTCCAACCGGCGATTCGCTTTTCCCGTTTTTTTTACGGGAAATTGAGATGCTTTGCTGCTTCCTAATTACTCCCTGTCGTCTCTTTCTCCTCCTCTGCAATGCGCTACACTGGAGATGGTCCTCCGGACGCGAGGACCTGGCGGGGATCCTTCTTTGTGCAAGAGCCAGCCAGCCAGCCGGCCGGCCCGGCCCGCACTCTCCAGCAGGCCCGGGAGGCGACGCGTCTGGAACGGAG